CAAGGTCCCTATTCAATGGAAAACCAGCAAGACCGTATTGTTGTTCAAAAAGGGAGACCTTCACGACATAGGCAATTATCGCCCAATCTGCTTGCTGTCCGTTGTCTATAAACACTTTACTCGAGTCATCCTGAACAGGATTGACAGAACACTGGACGAAGGACAGCCATGCGAACAAGCAGGGTTCAGAAAAGGATTTAGTACCATGGACCACATCCACACGATCACAAGACTCATTGAAGTTTCGCGAGAGTACAAACAACCACTCTGTTTCACTTTCATCGATCTGAAAAAAGCCTTTGATTCAGTGGAAACAGAAGCGGTTATAGAGGCTCTGGATAACCAGGGCGTCCCTACTCGGTACATAATGATCCTTCGTGAGCTTTATAAAGATTTCACTACCAGAATATCTCCATTCTACAACAATATCACAATTGACGTAAGAAGAGGGGTTCGACAAGGCGATACAATATCGCCAAAACTATTCACTGCCACCCTACAAAACGTCATGCGAACATTAGAATGGGACGAAATGGGAGTGAAAATTGACGGTCGACAATTAAACCATCTTCGCTTTGCTGACGATATCGTTCTCATAACACCAAACATCAGCCAAGCGGAACGAATGTTGACTGATTTCGATAACGCCTGTGGAAAGATCGGTCTTCAACTGAATCTAACGAAAACAATGTTCATGAGGAACGGATGGGTTTCTAATGCCCCATTCACGCTCAACGGAACGACAATTTCCGAATGCTCCAGTTACATCTATCTAGGTCGTGAAATCAACATGATGAACGACCTAGCCCCAGAGTTGAGCAGGAGGAAACGAGCGGCTTGGGGAACGTTTAAGAGCATCGAAGATGTAGTGAAGAGGACAAAGAACATCCGACTCCGTGCCCACCTTTTCGACTCGACAATTATCCCTGCCCTAACGTATGCAGCAGAAACCTGGTCGCTACGTAAGCAGGATGAAAGATCACTTGCCGTTATCGAACGCGCAGTCGAAAGGTCGATGCTAGGAGTGTCTCGTATTTCGCAAATAAGACAAAGGATCCGAACTTCCGACCTACGTCAACGATCGAAAGTCAGAGACGCCGTTCTACACGCCAGGATATCGAAAATAAGGTGGGCCGGACACGTGATGCGCTTCAACGACAACCGATGGACGAGAGCCGTTACCGACTGGATTCCTCGGGACGTCAAGCGCTCTAAAGGAAGACCACTGACCCGTTGGTCCGATTTCTTCACGAAAGCGATGGAAGAAAGATATGATGCTCAGCGAATTCCTAGAGCAAGGAGGACCCACTGGGCTACTCTTGCACGCGCTAGGGAAAAATGGAAGAGTTGCTGGTACCCGCTCGAGTCACTCGACGATCAACGGGACGACAGGTGATACAGGTGATACATGAGGATTAATCCAGAGGCTCTGATTTTTTCCCTTCAACTGGATGCCCTCGAGATGATTGCTGTACCTTGTCCGGCACTCACCTTTTCGAATAACTTGTCTTTTACCATTTGCAACTGACTGTGGAAAACCTTCACTAAGTCAGATACTTTCTGGTCTGCCACTTGTCTTCTATGGATGTCACCCTTCCACTTAAAAGTCTCTATGTAGATAGAATTCCTACATTTATCACTTTAAAGGTGGACTGTTATTACAATTATATCTTCAGTAATACAAAGTGGTATGCAAAACTTTGAACGTCTTACAATCGTGCTTTGAGAGAGTCAGGAAGGGGTACATGTTTCTCATTCATTCTTCCATATGATTTATCACGCATATGATATTAGGAATTATTTATAGTTAATGTGTGCAAGGAAGAGTTGGACACTCATGTATTGTGGAAGAATCCTGTACGAGAAGGGACAGTAATGTTTTGAAAAAATCACTAAGTGGTGTACATTTAAATTTGTTGCTTTCAGAGAAGCAGAAGCTAACTTCTCTGCAGTGAATTAAAGTTACTATTATATTGCATTCCCAGAATGTCTGAATTCTATGTGTGTTACAGGATTTCCTGGCCATTGTGTATTCGATGCAGTGCATGTTCCAGGAATTGTATATTGTGTGATGTATGAGCATTTCATGCGATTGTAGGCATTTAGATGTTGTTGGCTTAGGCTTTAGATCAAAATTTTTGAAATGTATTGGTATATAATTTGGAGAGATTGTTATAAATTCGATGCAAAGAGGGTTACTTCTTTGTGGATATTGTAAAATCATTATCCGTCAATTGTAAAAAAGATGTTCCCCTAAATAGATGTGTCGAGTATAAGATTTTGACTATTAGAAATTTGAATTAGACGGAAACTCACTCCAAATGCGTGCTGTGGAACAGTTCGTTAGGTGAAATGGTCAAAGCAAGTATCAAGCGTTGATTTTTTTTTATAAAGTACAACTGTCGGTTGTTATTAAGCATCCTATCTCTTGATTTTATATAATACGTACAATTGCTACGTAAAAGGCTGGTTCTGATGGCCAAAAAGGCGACTTGTTGCTGACAATACTAGCTATATAAAGTTGCTGATTGTCGTATAAATCTTTTGAACAAAAGTGTCACACCATCAAAGAAATGTTCAAAAAATAAATGTTAAGAATATTGTTTTCTTCCGTGAATAAGAACTCCACAAACTGCGGACTGAGGGCCTCTCCATATAAGCTTTCAGAAGTTTTATAGTGCAAAAATGCGTTCGCGAACTATAATTTACATTATCGTCGGAAAAAATGTGCAGCAAGAGTTGGAAATGTGATGCTCTTTGAAGCAAGTTGCTTTCGTATGGAAAAACAAAGATTTTTAGGGCACCTGGTCTTTCCTTTACTGAAAAAATGTTCTTAGAAGTCTTTCCACTGACATCCCGTCTTTTTGTGGCAAGAAAGTGCTTGTAAAATTTATCCGTTTCTTACCTAAAGGTGCCAATAAAGCCGCGGTGAAGTTCAAGCAGCCAAAACTAACTACTCCGAAGGTTTAACATAATTTTTTATCGTCAAAAATGAGTATTTCCCTTCTGCGAATTTATCAATCCAGAACGACTAAAAAAACAACTAGAATAAGAAAGGTAAGTGTTCAATAACGATGACGAATACTTACCTTTTCTCAGCGAAGTGGTTTTCTTGCTGAATATAAGAATTTTTTCATCACGCAGGCATTACATTTGGAAAAAGCCTTTACAGAATCGTCTCCAGAGATATTATATCATTTGATAATCATAATTTCTCTTTAAAAACTAAAATTCACTTCATGAGTTTTAGTTTGTTACTGGGGGCACGTTCAAATCTACAAGCTGTCAGTACTAGTTCTTAGCACTCGTAAAGTCTCACGTATCTGTTCTTTGTCAGATTCGTAGAATTTTAGTAGCTTAATTATTATAATTCATTTTATGTTGCCAATTTTGGCATTGCTACAATATTATAAATATAACTCATACAATTCTGAGTCATACGCATGACTCTGAAAGATTTATCCCTAAAGAAAATTACAACACTTATGAGAAAAACATGAACTTAACTGTAGTAATTTGCGTTAGATATGATGTGGGGGAGAGGGTGGCTGCATGGCAAGTGGTGTACGTTATCAGGAACCAATGTTCTGTCTTGATCCTCTTCCCTCTCCCTCTCCCAGCACTCTCCTGCAACCTCTCCTGTGAGCGCCCTAGCCCGGCTATCGCCAAGATTGCAAGATTTGCCCCACTATTACTCAACTCTTTTATGAAGAAGACGAGATCGCTGACCAGATGACGAAACAACACATTAAGTTTTCGAAGATCTCCGAGGGTATCGGAAGTACAAGTAAACGAATCGATTGCTAGAAGTGCGGGGATAATCGCATAAAAAAGCATGAGAATAGGTGAAAGGCCCAGAAACCTATGAGTAGCTGGAGAGCTCAAAAAACAGCTAAGTGGCTCGCTGCCTCATAAGCTTTCTCTCAATTTCAAGCTCAGTGGTAGAACATCGGTCTCTAATTCCGAGAGTGGTTCGTGTGAGTACTGTTACCCTCTGCGAGAACGGAAAAAACTACTGTGAGATGTTCTGATAATTTATGATTGATTTCCTTTTATTTAAAAGCGCATGTGGCGCAGTGATTAAAGGTGCTCTGCGTCGCACACGAGGTCACTTGTTCGATATCGCGCTCATGGCTCACCAAGCCATCAATCCCTCCGTTGTCGTAAATTGGTACCACACAGGTCTCAGACTTGTCTAGAAAGATAAGCAGCTGACACGGTTAAGTGGGAGGCCACCGCGAATCATTTTAGAGGCCAGATATGCATTCACTCACCTCAAACGAAATTAAAAATTGAAGTCAAATGCATGGCGCATCCCTCAGGGGTTGATCAATTCCAAAAGCTTTATTCTTTATCCCTTATCCTTTCATTTGACCGCTTTCAGCGGTGGTATGATGTTATAGACAGATCTAGTAATGTATAACGTTGTGCAAAACTCTTTGCGTCAGGCGGGACTCGAACGCGCATCTCCTTCCATCCGACAACGCGTGCTCTAACCAGCTGCACAATTGGCGCCCGTTTTTTCATCACTTTTTTCACCCTGCAACGCATCTATCTCAGCGTAACTGGACTCAACCGGTTGACTTCTGTGGAACCAGGGGCGTGTCAAGCGACTTCATCTCTTCTGCCTCGAATGAACGCCGACTGCAACTACTTTTCGTTGCAGGACGCACAGTTAAGTGTTGGAATGATTAGCGTGCGATCTACGCCGGCGCACTGATGTTATGTCTGCAGTTATGGTGTCGACACCAAGAAACAGCAGCTTATACGCCGGCACAGACCACACGTGAATCGTCTCAAATTTTAGCTGCAAATCCTGAAACGAAAAGCAGCTGTAGTCGGCGCCTACACTAGGCAGGAGATGTGGATTCATTAGACACGCCCTGAGTATACGGAAATCGTTTGGCTAATGTCGATACCGATTATCAGGGCCAAACAGTTGACGGTAGGCTGCTGACAGACAGATACATTGTTGCGTGGAAAGACTGGTGGCAAAACAGGCATCAGTAGTGCAACGGGTTAGAGTACACGTTCCCGGATAGAGTGAGATGCGGGGTTCGAATCCCGCCTGACGCAAAAAGTTTCGCATATCACTTTACATCACTGTGTATATAATATGTTTCTAAAATTCTAAATCGCAGTTGCTGTCAGACATGAATTTCAATAAATGAAAAAAGTTCTTTTGAAATGAATGATTTGATACGGAAAATTTCAACATTTGGTCATATGGTTTTACATCATTTAAGAAGAAGAGGAAAAACGAGTCGAATTCTAGAAATACCGGGATCCGCACAATAACAGTTGTGATGACGGATTATGTGAAAATAGATACAAGTAATATTGAAGAATATTGAGCTGATAAGCAAAGCTTTAGCGCCAAGCAAGGGTCGAACCCGCATCTCACCTCTCGAGTAGCACGTTCTACCTTGCCCACCTAAAGCTCAACGTTTTTGTTTTAACATTCTTGGATATAAAGTAAAGGGACTTGTGATGGCGCTACTGAAATTCGAAGAGAATGGCAAGAGTCAATTTGACAGATTCAGGACAACTGCTGAGATTTTGCAGTTACGTGCTGAAATTTCCGATATCGATGGAATCGATGATTTTCTTGGTCTCTTTAATTTTCGCCATTTTTTGATATAAACTCAAACGGTTGACCTCCGTAGATCCAGAGGCGTGTCCAATTACTCCACCTTCTCGGTCAAGAACGAACGCTGGTTACAGCTATTTTTAGTTTCAATATCCGCAGCTGAATTTTAGAAAGATTCGCGTGCACTCTGCGCTGAAGTATTGACTGCTGTTTCTCGATGTTGACACTATCACACGTAATATAACACAATATGAAGCAGTCAATGCGCGCGCGAATCATCCCAAGATTAGCTGCGGGTCCTGCAACGAAAAGTAGCTGCAGTCGGCGCGCACTCTGGGCAGAGGAGGGGAGTCGTTGGGCACGCCCCTCGTCTTACGGAACTCAGCAGATTGAAAAAAATGCAGGTGCAAATGCATATAGATAGAACATAAACTTTATATTATTGACCCACTTACCAACTATTTGTTGTTACCTTTCATGTGACGTACGTCATAATTTGTATGATAAAAGAAAAATTAGTAAATAAATCAATTAATTGGTTAACAAGTAGAAACAAGTAAATAAATAGACTAAATAAATAAAGATGTAATTTGAAGGATGAGTTTTCTGAGGCACTGAAGAAGAAAATTTATTAAAAACTGATATGAGCAAGAAGCACCAACCGATATAACGCTTTCGGGACGGTACGTGCCTTACACACGCGTGGCCATTTAAATTCACTTTGCAGTAAAGAATTATTCAAAGCCCATTAAGCGTTTTTAGACAATTTTCATATTTTTGGAGCTGAAATTTGAACGACGATATCAGAAAATCAGTTTGCTGCGCTAAAAGTGAATATTGCTCACTAAACTGAAGCAAATTGTGTGCGATGACCAGCAACGTTGCGATTGATTCGTCCCAAAAAAGGGTCAAAATTGAGGGTTGAATTGCAATGACCTGTGATCAATATCGAAATTAGTAAGCACTACAGTGCTTCAGATATAAGCAGTTTTTGATTTGGCTTTGGACGTAATGATCTCGTTTTCACTAAGCTACCCCCTAAGGATACGTCGTGCGCATTGAGCTTCATTCGTGAAACCTCATTAACAGGACTGAGGGTACATTTGGCTCACACAATGAGTCGTGGAGTCCTACTAATGTATTTGCTAAGTCAGTGTTTTCATTGTCTCATAGAGAAGTTAGAGGGTAACAATTTCATGACACCTTGTCGAGGTGATGCGGGCTTTGATTGCCCAGTGTCGGAGGACGGGGGGAGTTAAGCCAAAAACCACGTGTGTATTGTCGAACAGCGCTAGCCACTTCGCTAATCCCGCTCATCCACAAAATTCGCATAGATGCAGACGATGAACTCATCGCAGGCGCGTTCACAGCAGATCGATTCCGACTTGACTCCTCACAAGTGTGCAGATAGGTCAATTCGATCAAAGAGAAATCAAGTTATGGGCTCAGTCAACTCCACAATAAGAAAAAAGTGCTTTGAACTCATTGCTCAAATTTTTCTCCTTTGTGCATCGAAAAAAAATCTGGTAACTCTGACTGAAGAATCTTTTGGCATCGCGGAACATGTTGGTGGTGGGGGAACCCTAAATAAGCTGTACATGGACTTTCCTAAACTACTTAGCATGTCAACCTTGCGAACATTTAAGCAAACAGACGATTGGAAAGTAATAAAGCGATTAAGACGGAAAATTTGACAGTTTGTGGGATTTTTGTGATATGCAACACTAGCAGCTCATCAATTCCATTATAGTAATACAGATTCTACTTATGAATGCATGGCCTGAATGGAAACCTGTGGTACCTAAAACCGCATTGGTTTAGGTACGCTGTCACAATCGTCGTAACTGGTACGGTAAACGACTACAAATAAATCCCCCTTCTTGTATAAATACATATGGCACAAATCTGATTTCTTTGTATCTTCTTATGTCGATTTCGCAGCTCCATAACGAGTGGGCGATGAAAATTCTGAAAGAGCCACGTAGAATAGAAATTGTACCTTACTTAAGGTCATCACTAACGACTTTAACCAAAAATTCAGTGCTACAGATTGTCAGAAAAATTTAGCATTGAGATCCATGCATTGAAATCGGAGACGAACAAAGGTAGCATGTTTAGGTTGAACAAGCAAATAGAATAAAGTAGAATTCTGGATTAACACGACCGATCCAACTATGAACCGCAGGGAGGAATACCTCGTAACCACTCGTGTCATGGGTCAGTATATAAGACTGTTGTTTTGATGGGTAGGGTTCATTATAAGCCTATGTGAACTCATTCCGGTGACCCCCACTTGAATCATTTAGTGGAACAAATGCAAAAGCGGTGAGTATGGTTGAGAGTTGACTTTGTGCTTGATGAGATTGCAATCTAAGGTTTGGGTGATTTTTTCTGGAACAGTGATGGAGGAGTTTGACTGGTTGGATTGCGGACAACTTGACCTTTCCAGGCTCTGAAGGAGGCGAACTGTCGAAACGTCAGCTGTTGAATAAAAATAAATGTAAAACCTCGTGTTTGGCTTAAGGAAGAAAATTAGGAGTTATTGAAGAATGCCGACGTTAAGGGATAGTCGGTCTTTGAAATTGTTAGAAGAAGTACCAGCAATATTCTTCCGACTAACAAAAAAAGCATTTTCTCTAAGGCAGAAAATTGCCTTAGCCCGACAATGTTCGAAGTTTCTCCGACGCTGCATAGAACATCAAGTCGCTCTGAACTCTGTTAAACGAAAAAGACTCATACAATATGTGATGTACCAGACGACAGCCCTCGAATACTGAAAATTGAGATGAAAGTGCTCCACGCCTGTCTACGAAGCAAGCAAGACAATATGTACGCTCTGCTAAAGAAGTGCGCAGCGAAGGAATATTATTGTGATTAGTATTTGGATGGCAATCTCTGGAAAAGAACAGTTGGTTGGTCAAAGTTGATTTGCGAGTCCAGTGGGTTGAATGCTAAAATCACCTTGTGGTAAAAGTTTGATGATCTTTTAAGTGGTTCGTAAGTGATTTTGAGAAGGCATACGGATACCGCTAATGAATATCAAGCGAGTCACAATAGGGAAAATAATGCAGCAATAAAATCAAGGTTCACTGTGTTGAGAGGCATAACTATCCCTGATGATGTGCACTTGCTATTAGAATTGAGTCCAACCTTCTCACCATTTCAGCCCATTTCTAAGGTATCCCGGCGTGAGGTTACATGTAGCTTACATTAACTGCAAGATAAACTCCGTCAAAAGACGAGAGCTGAAGAGACGAATAGGAATGAACAGCAAGTAAAGGTTGCAGCAATACCACCATTTTATCAGCCGTTCTACAGGCAACAAGACCCCAATGAGGAGGTTGATAGAAAATATCGGGAATATATGGACGAAACAGTTAAAACACGTTATAGCTGAGAAAGAGTGGTGTTACGGGCGTCGATAGTGCAACGGCTCCCGGATAGGGTGAGATCGGGGTTCAAATCCCAGCCGATAAAAATGCTTCTGTATATCACTCTACATTATTGGGTTTATTTACTAAACTCTCAAAAATTTTTCCAAACTCATTTTCTAAAGCAGTCGACTAGAAAGATTTTACAATTCTAACGGTGATAACGCGATATCACCTGCTATCACCATAACGTCTCACCATCACTGCTATAAAATAGAGTTCAGTGTCGGGCGCGTAGCACTGATCACGTAAAGCTCAGGTAAGTTCGGCCAACAACAAGACCAGGATGACTGCACACCGACGCCCTGACGGGACACTTACGGCTTACAGAAGAGCAATGAAGAAAATCATCCACCACTTCTATTCGGATCTCTTCGCTAGCCATGTCCTCTTACCGTCATATAAATTGAAAGAAGATAAATATGTTGTTCCACCGGTTCTCCCTTTCAAATTCCGACATGCTATATCGCCGGTGAAGAATAGAGCAACAATTGGTCCGGACAGGATTAGACCAGAACATCCGAAGAACCTACCGCCAGTTCTCATAAACACTCTGGCTCTTCACTCGTAACCTGTCAGAATGCAAAGTTTCCATGCAATGGAAAACCAGCAAGACCGTATTGTTGTTCAAAAAGAGAGACCTTCACGGCATAGGTAATTGTCGCCCAACCTGTTTGGTGTCTGTTGTCTATAAACTCTTCACTTGAGTCATCCTAAACAGGATAAACTGAACACTGGAGGAAGGACAGTCTTGCGAACAAGGAGGGTTCCGAAAAGGATTCAGTACTATAGAACACATCCACACAATCACAAGACTCACTGAAATTTTACGGGAGTACAAACTATTGCTCCGTTTCACTTTCACCGATTTGAAGTAAGCCTTCGATTCAGTAGAAACAGAAGCGGTTTCAGAAGCATTGGATAACCAGGGCGTCCCTACTCGGTACATAACGATCCTTCATGAGCTATATTGAAAATTTCACAGTCAAGACATCGCCATTCTAAAACGATCTTAGTATCGACTTGAGAAGAGGGGTTGACCAGGCGATACGTCA